GTAGGTAGGTGGGTTGGTAGGTAGGTCGGTAGGTAGGTAGGTAGGTAGGTAGGTAGGTGGGTGGGTAGGTAGGTAGGTAGGTAGGTGTTGTTGTGCATAACTTTACGTATGCATACATGCATGCACGAATGTGGATGTGGATGTGCGTCAGCATGTATATGTGCAGATGCTTCGGTCGATGTATATACGTAAGTATAGAAGTATATTTATATATGTATGTATACATATGCACGTATATTATATAGGCACTCATTGCACTTTTTCTGAAGTGTTGTTTTTGCTCACATGTGTATAACTTAAGTTGCTTTGACTAGCTTTCCTGTGGCCGCTGCAACCATTATCAAACCAGAAGTGCCTATATTTTGTATAAACAAACATATAACGATTAATAGTGCAACTGATACTATAAGGCTAACAGTATTAGTATTCATACTATATTGATTACGACTCGTGTCATTGCTGTTGTTGCCCATCTCACTATTCTTTCATATACTCGGCCAAAACCTGACTGAACCCCAAACCCTATACCAAAAGGCCCTAAACCCTACGAACCCCCAAAGCAAAAACCCGAAATTCCTAAAACCCTAAAACCCCTAAGAACCTAAAACCCAAAACCCCAAATCCAAAGAACCCCTAAACTCCCTCAAAGGCCCCCCGGAGCCGGCCTTGCGCGCTCTGCATCTCCGGCTCGCTCGCGAGGGAAGCCACGCGCTGGGCGCAGGCCACGGGATCCGCGTAAGGAAACTCTTTGGGCCGCGCCTGGGTAGGAAGTTAGGATTTAGGGCCATTAGGGTTTAGGGTTTAGGGTGGCGTAGTATAAGGGGTACTACATACCACAAGGGATACTTTGATAGGGCACTATAAAGGGGTTACTACAATAGCGTACCATACGGGTTACTGTGATAGGGTACCATAAAGGGGGGGGGTAGTATAGACAAGGGGGGGTGACTACTGTAGTTTAGGGTTGTTGCGGGCTTAATACTGAAAATACTTCACGGAGCCTTAAGACTTTAAGGAGCCTTATTCATTCCCCTCCTAGTTGCTGAGTTCATAAGCATAATGAAGTGCACACTTTCAGTTCTATAAGGGATCATATTTATCCCAAAAAGTTGAAAGTGTAGTAATTCAGCTACTAAGTGTATATATGGGGGCTTTGAGGGGGTCTCGGGTTCAGGGCGTTTGGCGTTACGGGAGGCGGGATTCAACCGAAGTTCCGTTTGGATGTTCGCTTTTCGGTCCTTGATATGCAGGAGCTCGAGAAGAAGTGGAGTTGAAGATGATTTTGGCTTGGTATGATCATGTAATTCGGAGTGGGGCTTCGGGGATGAAAGTTTGGTACGTGGCATGTCAGGACCCATGAGCCTGAAAGCCCAAGAAGTCGTTAAGCTGCACAGCTTCCCGGGTCCGGTTTGGGGTTTAGGGCTTAGGGAACCCGATGCAGCTCTGCCTCGTCTCTCAATTTGGACACATACACACACGCGCTCGCAAAACCCAAAGACTAAAACTATGATTACATGTACAAAGTAAACACATCCTCAAGTCCGAGGGCCTCCAGGTATTGCAAGCAGTGCTCATCTGCCCTCACGATCTGGAGAGGTTGCGCCGCTACGGTGACTGTCTGGCCGACGAAGAAGTCCTAACCCAGGGCTCGAGCGAATATAGAGACCTGAACAAGTTCGCCTCGTCGATGCTATATACTATACCTTCACATACGCCTTCGAAGTTTTATACACTTATACGACAAGATCTCCACAAAGTCTTCAGTCTCATTGCTAAGGCCGCTACATTTAAAGGGTTCCTCAAAGGGTTCCTCAAAGGGTTCCTTAAAGGGTTCCTTAAAGGGTTCCTTACAGGGTTCCTTAAAGGGCTCCTTAAAGGGTTCCTTGAGGCTGCAGCTGAGGCTCTGGCGCCGGTTTGCACGCTGGGGCTTTGGGGCGAAGTTTCTTCGCGAGTCAAAACCCCTCGTCCGATCTAGTAGCTTGTCCGCTGCTTCAGTTTAGGGTTGAGGGTTTAGGGTTTATACAGGGTTTAGGGTTGAGGGTTTAGGGTTCGGGGTTTAAGGGAGCTGAGGATACTGGCTGTCAAGCCACTCAAGCGCTTACATGAGCTTTGTGTGTGTGTGTGCGTGTGCGTGATACGCCTCCGTGCAGGATCACTAGGATCATGAAGTGCGCCAGAACTGTAAGAACCGTGGCACGAGGAAGCATAGCAGAAGTTCCGACTCATTGAAAGCTTAAGGAAGCTGAAGCCACTTTCCGAAAACACCACCTCAATAAGGCCTGGGAGTTGATCAAGGAACACATGGTTGTTAAGCCGTGGTATTTCTGAACGGTCTCGGTATTCTCGCGGTGCCTCGAGCTTGAAGTAATCCCCGGTGTCTGGATTCTTGATGCGTCGCTTGTCTGCGAACTTGCCCCCCATGTGCCCGCTGTTGCGCACGGGTACCTGTCCAGCACGAGAACCCAAACATACACATTTACAGTAGTCCCGACAACAGGACGGGGAGGCTTCATTAGCTTATTCTTGCGGCCTGCTGATCCCTAGGAAGAGGCTAGCCCGAATTCAGGCGCTGAGTGTGTCGCAAAACCGGAAGCCGCCCCAAACTCTATCCCCTGCCCCCCCGGAAACCCGTAATTTACGTTGGCCAACCGGGTTCACAGGTTCATGATGTGCAGGGCTTCAGGCTTCAGAACTCCGAATTTTTCAGGCTTTTGGTTGCGGATGTAGTGAAGTGTCCAGAGGGCCACTCGAGCCTCCCGCACTGCCTTCGCGCACCCTTCATCCCTCAAAAGACTGGGTGCTTGTTAAGGGATTTAAATTGTAAGTTGCCAGAATAAGGATCTGTAGTAAATTAAGCTACCATAATAAGGATCTATAGTAAATTAAGTTACCATAATAGGGATCTATAGTAAATAGCATGGTTTCTTTATGATGGTGGCTTAAACTAAATCCCTTAGCCCTAAACCCTCTCTCTCTCTCGCGTGCTCAGGGGATCCCGTCAGACGCAACGCTCGTTCTCTAGCCCTAAACCCTAAACCCCAAATCCTAAATCCCTAAATCCTAAACCCCTAACCCCGCCTCAAAGACTGCCACATCGCCATCCGCGGGGTAGTAGGCGATGACCAGCTTTCGCAGCTCGTCTTCAGGCTCGCCATTCCTGGGCTGAAGCATTGAGGGGTTTAGGCTTTAGGGTGTATGGTTTAGGGCTTATAAGGGTTTAGGGTTTAGGTAGTGTTTAGGGTGAGGCTGGGCTGAAGTTGGAGATAGGATTAGGGCAGGTGCGAAGGATTTGTGTGGCAGTGCCGCTGGCCGAGATTGAACATGTGGGCTGAGAATGCTTGTGCGATCGAGCCGGCATCTCGAGCCCACCTAAATCGCCAGAAGACTTGGCAAGCAATGCAAAAGAGACATCCATACAGCACTGTACAAAAATCCTACAGCCTGTATAGCTCCACCAACAATATGTTCCCAAGCCCATTCTGCTTATTAAGGCTGTTAGGGACTCTGCCTGCATTACTTGGGAAATCCGGGGCGCTACGGTCCAAGTAGTCTTTGCTGCTTTGGACATCGCCGCCTTCAATTCACCCACCTTAACAAGAACAGTAGTCCAGAAATGGATCCATTGTTATCCTTCTACACGCTTATTTCAATCCACCAGTTCGTGTCAAGGACCCAAATACTTCGACATCACCAGCTGATCAAGGAAAAACACCCTCTCTGTCTCGTGGACTCAAACTCCAAAGCCCCTGAGCACCCTCAACCAAGATCTCCCCTTCACCCAGGAGCGCCCTAAACCCTGAACCTTAAGCACCCTACAAGCCCCCAAACACCTAAAGCCGAGACGCCTAACCTGTATAAAGTCCTTACGAAGCCTTGCCAAAGAAAAGTTGCGAAGCCTGTGCAAAACACGGAAAGCTTAGAGCAACCCCGAAAAACCTTACAGCAGTACCATCCCATGAAATGCTTACAGAAACCCAGTGGTGCTGCAAAGCCACACCATCTTGCACTCAAAGCGCAAGACTTCGCCGGTGTAGACCATCAACCTTTCGTTGCGGCTTCGGGTGTCAAGGGCCTCCTGTACTGGAACCGGACCACAAGGGCTTCTATGCGAGTTTAGGGTTTAGGGTTTAGGGCTTGATGGCTTTGCGGCTTTGACTTGAAGTTTTAGGGCTTCGGCGCTCACACTCGGACAATCCAGGCGAGGCATGTGGTTCGTGGTCGGCATGGTGGGGCTTACAACAGAGGTGCAATTCAAAGAAACAAAGGGGGCCAAGATGATGCTGGATGTAGCGTTCAGGAGGGGTTTAGAGTTTAGGGGTTTTGGGGGGCTTCGGGGTGGGGTGCGGCCGGTCCAGTCTTAATTAATGGCTCCAGAGGGGGTGGTTGCAAGGATGTTCATGAAAGGGCTCCTGTTTTAGGATTTAAGGCTTCGGGTTCGGGGGTTCTGGTTGAGGGTCTTTGGAGATCAGAAGAGCTTCATTAGGGTGGCAGGAAGGAGCCAAAACCTGGACATCTCTTGGGCCTAGAGCCCGCAAACACCTAAGGAATTCCATGACTTACGGTTCCTTCCTGTCGCTCGAATAGAGCATAAATCATAAAGCCCTACAAAACCTACAAAACCCCGAGTCTGACTGCTGTCCACATTCCCTTGACGTCGGCCTTGGTGCTTTTGGAGGACATTTTTCCAAACCCGCGTCGACTTGTTCAGGCCCCTTTTTGATACCATTCTCTAGGGATAAACAACCCAAAGAAATCCTTGCCCTGCTCTTTTTACTGCTGAACCACAACTGCACTTCAAACCTGATCGGTACCTAGGCAGCAAGTTTTGGGCTTAGGGTCTATCGTTTCGGAATTTGGGTTAATATGCAAGCACACATAGATGTGGAATAAAGCAATGAAGGTATATTATATAGCCCGACTGTCAATAGCATGCGGGATGGCTAATCAAAGTGATGGAGATCGTGGTAACCGAGATGTTGATGTTGTTGGAAAGAACTGCGCGACCTTGGTCATGGCGCTGAATTGTGATGAAAACGGCGGAAACCGGTAGCAGCAGCACATCATCCCCTCGACCCAAGCGCCCTGAACTTCATAAACCCGAATCCCTACATGGAACCCCGAAACCCTAAACCTGTTCAAGAACCCTAAACCCTAAACTAAGCCTAAACCCTAAACCCTAAACTAGCCCTAAACCCTAAAGTAACCCTAAACCCTAAACCTGCTCAAGCCCCCAAAACCCTAAACTAACCCTAAACCCTAAACCCTAAGCCTGCTCAAGCCCCAAAATTGTGAAGCCCAGAGACCTCTCGAGGTCGATCTTGGGCGGCTTTGGCTGAACCATCTGGCAGTTGATCAGGGAGTCCTCTGAGTCTCATGGGGTTTAGGGTTTAGGGGTTTTGGGGGTTTTAGGTTTTAGGGGTTTAGGGGTTTTAGGGTTTAGGGTTATGGATCCTGCACTTTGGAGTCTTTGAGCTGGAGTTGCCAGGGGCGTGTAGAACGAGTATCTTTTCGGCTCCGACTTTAAGGCGACGAGTCTAATTAATTATAAGAACCAACCAGGTGGCACTTCAAAAAAAGCTTACACTGTACTAAACATAGTGGGGAAAGTATTTTTTCTACACTTATTCGAAGAGGAGGCCTCCATGTTCTCCCACTGGTTGCGGTGCTTTGATTTTGTCGGGAGCTTCTTTGAATGGGTTTAGGGTTTAGAGTTTGACAGCCTGTTATTTTTCTCCAAGCTTCCGCCATGAGCGCTATACCCAAGCTCAGCCAAACCCAAGCGGACAGCAACTGAACTGGAGGCGGGTCCCCGGTCGGGGTAGCTGGGAAGTGGGCGGCTGCTGCTTGGCCAGCTCTTGAGAAACACTACCTGGAGGTTCTGTCTGAGTTCATGGGCAAGGTGGCAATCGGGATAACGCCGGTTGGGTATCTAGAACACGAAATGCAACCGACAAGCTAAGTCCCATGAACATTCCGGGTCCTTCCGGTAGCAAAGTGTTCGGGGCCGTTCGGGTTCGATGTCGGAGTTGTTTAGATAGCTTGCGCCACCAGACGCTACTTCAGGCGGCTACTTGTCTATATTCGGGCGCATACTCAATCCCTACCACAACAAACAGTAACTAAACGGGTATGGACCCCAAAACAAAGCCGTAACCCTATAACAGGAGCCCCTGCAGGCCCTAAGAGGGTGCGGAGCTTCCCTAAACCCAGCCCTTAACCCTAAACCCTAAACCCTAAGCCCTAAACCCTAAACCCTAAACCCAGCCCTTATGGACCCAAAGGCGAGCCCCAATGACCCGGGGAAAGTCTCTCAGTCTCCCAGGTCCCAAGCCCGAAACTCCAAAAATCCTAAACCTTAGCTTAAAGCCCTACCTGGACATTAAGGAGCCTACCTTTTTTTAGGGCTCCTTATTATGATTTCTTTATACAAGTCCTGAAAAAGGTAGGCTATTTGGGGTTTAGGTAAACCCGAAATGCCCTAAATGGCCCTAAATCAGGCTACCGGGTCAATGGCAACCCAGTCGTTCGCAGCCATGTTGCATCTTGCTTCCAGCAAAAGAGGTTGGGTTTGGCGGTTGTACAACCTTTGCTCACACTTGTAATTCTGCTCTGCGCACGCTTTATGTGTACATATCATGTGTTATGTACGTACCTGTATGTATGTACCGGTATGTACGTGCGTGTGTGTGTGTGTGTATGTATGTATGTATGTATGTATGTATGTATGTATGTGTGTGTGTATGTATGTGAAAATAACACGTCTTATCCT